CGAACCTCTTTCACAATCACAACGATTCTTTTTTTTTTTTTCTTAAAGAACATGCCATTCCCAACCCAGCATAGTCGAGATGATTTACGCGTGAAAGATTGTTTGGCAGGCTTGGCGACTACAGTGCGTTACGCTGGGGCCCACGCATGTTTCTTAAAGTTTTTCTGTGGTAAAACAGCACAACCAGCTTAAATTGGGAGATTTAAAGTCAAGCTAATGTTGAGCCCATATAACCTTTATTGTTTTCCTTCTCTTCTCTCTCTTGAAAATAAAGAAAAAAGTTAGAACAAATCAAATGTAACTGTCTCAGCAGCCATAATCACTGAAGTACGTTTTGCCGCAACCGCAGTTTGAATGTTTTGAGGGGAACAACAAGTCAGAATCTTCCTTTGACTTTTTTCTTTACAAATATGATTTTAAACGATAGATTCTAGAAAAATGAAGTCCGCAAACTACCAATATCACTTGATTTTTGCGAAATGCCTGAAGTAAAATTCGAATGAAAGGAAATGACTAACTTCTCGGTAGTTGAGATAATGGTTCTGTCCCAGCCCACCTAGCTTGTATGGCTTTTCAAGTCCTTGTTCGCGAAACCTCTGTGTACAGTTCGTCAGCAACTTTTGTCCAACACGATCTCATTGTGTTCCCAATGATTCCGCAATTAACAAGACATAAAGAACCGTCGAACACAGCCACACGGCCTACGCTAAAGTACTATTCAGCTGCTCTTAATGCCAATGTAATAATGAGGAGAAAACGGCAATGTTCATTAACTGGTTGAAACGGTAATCATGACAATAAACGGGAAGTGAAACATTAGCATAAAACGTGCAAAGGATGAAGACAGAAGCTTTGCAGATGATAGCTACCTACATTTCTCTTCATTCGGTATATAAATTGAACCATAATGACGGAGAAGCGAGGTGTCATTAGATGAATTCAAGGTATCTCTGAATGAATTGAAGACCCAATGAATACAGCGATGGTCAACGACTCATGCTGAACAACTTTAATTATAGCCTGTGCAGAGCTGATCACCCACCTATAAGTAGCCACAGTTTTGTCACCAAACAAAGTTCTGAATACAAAGGAAATAATATTTTGGGTTAACTACATCAGATGTAAAGAAGTGATGTTGAAATACTCCTTCGGCACACCATATCACTTTTTCTATCCACTTTATTCTTTGCCACTTTTAAACCGTGAATTTAATTTAACAACAGGTAGAACTCTGATCTTAAATCAAAGAAATACGATAATTACATGTTTTTGAACGTGTAACAGTTCGCCATACTGCATCAAATTTACAATAATCATTCAGTGTCGCTTAATTTCCCACCGAATAATTCATTCAAAGATAACAAAAAGCTTTTGAAGCAACATCTGATGAGTAAATTTTTATCTCTTTTAGATCTAACAAATAGCCACTCACTTGTAGGAATAGTCACATGGGCAGGAGACTACAGTTACAGCATCACCAAAATGTTAAGCATCTACTCGTATTCCACAGCTTAAAAAGGTGTGTTGATATCACTAATACAACAAAGTAGTAAAAAGGATCCTGAAGAACAAAATAAAAACGACGCCTGCTGGTTAGTTGACTTCATTCGTAGTTTTTCCATCTAAGCAAAGTTAACTACCCAAATCTCAACAGCTTTCTTTCACGGATTAGTGTAAACAACATGGTCGTTCTTCTGTAGCTTTATTTAAAAAAAGGATGAAAAATGACTTATAATTCATACGCAGAGTTTCTAAGTATCATTGAGGGGCCCGCAACAACATAAATATTTATTCACTGACTTCACTATGTAAAAAGAATCCCTAATTATTATGACCGTATTCTAGACCGTGGCATTTCATACTACTCAAATGTCACTTTTCCTGCCATAGTTATTTAATAGTCTTGAAATTGGGAAAAATCAGAAATTATTCAAACGACCAAAACTTTTCCGAAAGCATATTAACCGCACAAATAAGCGCGATATACGAATGGACCAAATCAATGAACAACCAGCATGGCAAGTAAACAGACGTCTCTGCCGACTTCTGCATCATGCTAAATTACATACCATCTTAACTCCAACCAAAGAAAAGCACTTTTGGCCTTCATAACTCAGGATAAAAAATACCTCTCAGATGATACAGCTGCCAGGATGTAAAGCTAAAGGAAGATGGTACAACTACAATGAATGATGAATAAAGTAATTCATTTAAGAAAGCTTATGATCAGTACGAAATTTGAAATTCTGCTGCCAGAACTTGCTGTAATTAATGGGGAAAACAAAAAAATTCAACTGCTTACTCCGCTCTAACCAAAGTATTTAGCAGACTAGTACGACAAATAAGAGAACTCAACCGAAACATACTAAAAGTAGAACACCCTCCACAACCCGATGATTCAGTGAAGGTCCAAGCAAAAAAGAACCCACAGGTGTCATTTAATTGTGAATAAACTGCTAACGATTTTCAGAATGCCCTAGAGGTTAAATGACCGAATGCGAAGTTAAAGGAAACCAAGACTTAATCCAGCTTCCATTTCTACTATTCCGTACGAGAGCAACTCAAGAAAACATCAAATCCAATTTGGACTTCTAGCAATCCGTCCCACATAAATGAAACCTTTCTATGAATGTTACCACCATTGTCACAAGCATGCCTCGCCCTTACTTTTTTAAACAAAATGATTGAACCTTCCAAAAATTTTAGGACCATAAATCGATTCTCGTCACTAATTAGTCGTGGAAGACAAACTTTCCCCATCAGAATTCACCACACTAAACAAAAGAATGGGCTAGATGAAGCTCCTCCAAACAGTTTTAATGGATTCAAACTTTCTGTAAGCAATCCAAACGGTTACGCAAGTTGAAGCCACCATGATTAGAAGAATTTATTTTCTTAACAGTTTAATGAATAAACTTCCCTCTGCATCGTTATGGGAAGTTCCAGATTTGACAGTGGCCTAAAATTCCAAAACATTTTATAACTGACCAAGTCCCGAGTAAAAAACTTAGTAAAAAGCATTATTTTGAGATCCTTTCATAATAATATGTACTGACAAAGAGCTGAACAGTATAAGTTAACTTCGTAACAACGGCAATGCAGTAAATGAAGGAAAAATGGGCTTCTGAATAACTAATAACGAAAACAAAGGTTTGTAATTCGGCATCACTACTTCGTACATATCATTTTCAACGCCCAACACGGAATCCGCCTCTCCCGCGAGGACCACCTCTACCTCTGCCTCGTCCACGAGGACCGCCACGGGTTATTCCACCACGACCACGTCCACGACTAGCTTTCTTGTGAGACTCATCGTCAATCAGTAATGTGTCGAGTGGGATCGAGTCTGGCAATATAATGTACCGAATATTATTACCTAAAATTGAAATATTCAGGCAAAAATGCGTATCACAGCCCAAAGTCACTGTGGGAAAATAAAAATCAAAATCAGTCACCCATGCAATCAAAACGCAAAGATATATGAACATAAAAACAGCAAAATGGTATAAAAAATAACCATAAAAAAAAATCTCCTACAATTAAGTACAGCCCGTGCTTTATAAAATAATATTGTTCTTCTCAAAGAAGTTCATATTTCCTTACCCTTTTTGAGTCGCTAGAGAAAACCAGTAATCCTTAGACAACTTTCTAGAAAACTAAAGAATAGTTGCCAATGAACCTGTTCTCAACTTTTTCTGGTATGAACTTAAAGTAACTCCTCAATACAATTCATAATACTGACCAAACCCTCAATGTTACAAATCGGCGGTGCTAAGACGGCTTAAAACGTATCTAAACAAATACCAGCGTCATGATTACTTCATCATGCCGCGAAAAAAAACAGAACAACCCTACGTTTATAAAATATTACCATCACTGTCATGGGAGGATCCTAAAATGCAGAGACTTGTGGTAAAGCTATGGCACTTATAGAGAACTACTTGAGCGTAAAAAAATCCAACAAAATCCCCATCAGTAGCAATATCAAAAACAAACCTCTAATTGAAAGTGTATCCAGTGTAATCGGTTCTCTTTTTTTTGGTGTCATTTTTACAGCCCGCAAATGAGTGTTCATTGCTACATCTACACCCATTATAGTTCCAGTTACTGACGTTCCATCCTTGAGTTCAATAGTCACAGTTTCATGTGATAATTTCATCAAAAAACGAACTAATTTCATATTCGTTAGACAAACACCTGGAGAGAAATTACCTGAAGTACAGTCAAGAAGAAAAGAGGAAACGAAAAACGAAAGAAAAACACACTGAAACAAAGTAAACAGCAGAACGATAAAGAACGTTGTAAAATCCCGGATTGAATGCATAATACACCAAACTGCATATGGCTAATTTTGAGTTACACTTGAGAAAGCCCTAGAACGGCAACAGTGCGTCACCTTGCAGGTACACCAAACATCTGCTTACAGTTAACTGACAGAGGACAAGAAAATTAAAGGTAAAACTAAACCAATAACATACTCCACAAAATAATTGGAAACAATCATTCAAACCGAATGAACACGCAAAATCACAGTTAAAGACCTTTAAAAGCTAATGATACTGTATCGATGTTCACGTTTATACTTGCGAAGTGTTGGCAAGATGCCATTTTTTAATACATTATACGACTTGGATATTTGTGCTATACGTTTGTGGGAGACCTCTGGTAATGGATGGTGGCGTTGGAATGTGCGAGTTTGTTTGAAGTCTAGTTTTGTTGGTTAGGAGTGGCTGCTGAGTGCTAGTTTTAATTGTTAGGTTCGGTAGGGTTTTCTTCAGTTTTATCGCCGCTTGAAGAAGCAAGAGAGGTATACTTTTGTTGGTTAAATTCGACAACGGCTAATATTTGGTTTTTTGGACTATTGGCGAGATAATATCCAAAAAATTGTTTTTGGGATGTTTTGCGTATAAAGTTTATTGGTTATGGGAAAGAAAACGGCCTGGTGTAACAATTATTTAAAGTTTAAAATTGTTCCGCTAGTTATAACCTTTTAGATGATTTAGAAATTCGCTGGATTTTTTTTTCCTGTAGTTTTTTTTTTTTTTTTTTGTTTTTCACTCGTAATTGTTTGGTCTCTGAAATTATTGCCCTTGGAATTTGTTACACAACTTGTCGCTACTGTCTTAATTTATTTTTTGAAATGTTGAAGGTGCTGAGAAAGTGGGTATGTAAGATTTTGTAATGCTTGTACAGGTTTGCTATATGAAATAGATTACGTTTTTTTGTCTCACTTGCTGTTTTTTGTTCATATTTGCCGTTTTAATGGACCTATTTTTGTATGAGATATACTTTGTAAACAGTTCTGGGGATTAAATTTGGAAATGTTTTCTTAAAAAAGAAAAAGTCTGTTGGGAAAATTATGTTGACTTATTAGTCAGACCTAATAGTTATATCTTCGCGTTACAGTTCATTTCATGAATTGATAGACCGATTTCTTATCATTATAATATTTCGTGTAAGGTGCAGTGTTTTCTAAATAAATTATTTATTAGAAGAACAGACGTGTACTTCCAGCCGCAGCTGCGGAACTTCGTATCCTGTAGTTGTCTTCCAAATGCACGTTTATAAGAGATGATTTAAGAAAAAGATTTTTTGCATAATACTTAGTAAAGCAGTGGCTGAAGTTTTCAATGGATCTCGGATCAGAACAAAGAACCTGTTAAAATGATGCAAAAGTGAATAAGTAAACTGCTTCTACTAGGTTTTTTTAAAATCTACTTTAAAGAAATAAATTTTATGTTTTAGCTTGATGACAGGTGCACGAGTATATATTGGAAGGCTGTCATATAGAGCAGAAGAACGAGACATTGAGCGGTTTTTTCGTGGATATGGGAAAATCAGCGAAATTTTGATCAAAAATGGATATGCTTTCGTAGAGTTTTGCGATTACCGTGATGCTGAAGACGCTGTTCATGAGCTGCATGGTCGTACAATATGTGGTGACAGGTAACGTTGAGTTGTTGCATTGAAGATGTGAGAGTTGATGTTTTAATGCATATTAATTTCTCGCAGAAGAAATTGTTTTGCAGGACGGCATATAGGTCCGGTATTTTTATTTTTTTTAGTTTTTCTCACTGAGTTATTAAATTATCGCGAATTCATTTCCATTGTTGTTTATTTTGTGGTGGAAAGAAGAAGAGAATGAGATTAGTCATCGGATACATTTTCAATAAATGCCACTTGTATATTGAAGTTGTGTTAAAAAGTGATTGATTGTACTAGTGGATTGCAACTGGTGTCGTTTTTTTTAGAGTGATAGTTGAACTAGCGAAAAGTAAACCTCGTGGGTGGGATGCTGCCCGTTATCATGGTCGTTCTCGATCCCCTTACAGACGAAGCCGGAGTAGAAGTGGTAGAGGACATTCTTCACGTCGTAGAAGCAGGAGTCGTAAACGGTATTTATTTGTTCAAATCTCTTTGCATTGTGCTTACTTGGCGCATAGCAACATTTTACTTCCAGTAGTTCATCGTCAAGTAGCAGTGACTCGACAAGTCCACGAAGACGTTCAGTATCACCGAAAAGAAGCCCTAAAAAAGAAAGATTTGAAAAAAGAAAAAGAGGGCGAAGCAGTTCAAGTTCTTCATCTAGTCCAGAATCTCGGAAAGAAACAAAGAGAAGTGGGAGTTCAAGGCGCAGAAAGGATAGTGAGAAGGTATGAGAACGGAACATTTTTTATTTAAGTGTAGACAGTCACATTGTACTATCATTTAGAGAGAGAAGAAGAAAGAGAAGCGGTACTCCGACAGCGAATCTAACTCTCAAGATGAGGATGAAATATACAAGATCGTTGTTACAGGTTTTTCTAAGCAGGACAAAGTTGAAAAGGTTGGATTTTTTTGTTGGCTTTCGCTTTTACTGTTTTATTAGATTAATACAGTTGAGGTGAAGTTACTATTGACTTCATCTTTACATAGTTCTTTCGTACCCCCACGTTAATGAATAACGTATTAGTGGGAATATAATAGAATATCATTTTATTCATTCTGGAAGTGCTACTCACTGCTCCTCGGCCCCAGAAAAAGTTTTTGTCTTGTTCGTTCTCTGAACAATAACGTAAACTTACTGGTGGGACCAGTATTTTGAACTGTGAGTCATTGCCATTTCTCGTTCAGAAAGACTATGTAACATTTAGTTATTTTAGACTTATTTCCAACCTCAATTTTTTGTGTCTGCCTTGATTTCGTTAGTTTTAGAGGTTTCATTGGTTTTGCGACATCATTTTCGACAGAGGCGGAATTTAGTTTGCTCATACTTTGTAATAATTTTTTAATCGATTAAGAGATGTAAAAACTCGGCTTGGAAAAAAGGAAGATACGTTTTTTTTTTCAAAGAACAGTAGTCATCAAGTCGTTTTCTTATTTCTCTTATGTAATGATGTACAAACATTTTTTTTTTTTGTTTTCTCAAACGATTTATTCATTGATTTCAAGGTAGTCATTTTTTTTGAGGGATTAATTTAGTTGTAGTTCAGTGAGGTTTTTGCAGGAAATCTGCTTTTATGCATTCAAGTTCTTCTGCAGTATTTGTTAGACTTGGCTTTTGTCAAACCTGCTTGTGTTTTTTTTTTCACTTAGTTGCTTTGGAACGGTTTTAAACGAAAGGTGTAAAAAATATGATAAAGGGTTTTTTTTAATGTGAGATTACAGGTTGAAAGTTGTGGGTTTGGCAAGGTTTCGCTAGGAGTTTTACAATAGAATTATTGAGTGGTGTGCCTGTGTGATACACTTGCATCATCGTGTAGATTATTTACCCAAATAAATTCCCAGCTTACGTCTTCGATGAAATGTTATCTTTGCAGGCCTTTATGCTTTTTTAGTCAAAAGTTTTTTGCCTAGCTTTTGGATATTTTTTTAACTTGAAAGTTGCTAACTACCAGCTTGAGAAGTTTTCGGTCTCTTAGTTTTTGCTCTTACTGTGGGAGATTTTTTCTTAAATTATCGAACGCATTTACAAAAATGTTATAAAAACGATTGGCTCACCGTTGAGGCTGCAGAGTGCAGTTTTGTAGATGCAGTACCTTTCCTGTCCTGCAAGTGATTTTCGAATCCATGCGAGTGCCCAAACATTCGATTTCCTTTCGTCACGAAGCCTAATATCGTTTCCATACGGAACAATCGCTAATCCAAACCGATATTGGTCTTTACCACACTCTCGTGTTCCTAACCTTTCAACGATCATAGACGTGAACTGACTCATTTCGCTTCATATCACACTTCGTGTTTGCCGTCGTTACCATGGGTTAATACATTGGACGTTTTTGACGGCATATATTATTTTTCGCTTTGTCCAAAGATGTTGCAAGTAAAGCAATAAGATGTGTTGTATTTTTGCTTTTTATTAGTGCTCCAATGCAGTCTGCTTCATTGATTAATTAGTTTAACTTTGATTTCAGTTGGTGAAGAAGGCGTTCAAAAAATACGGAGATATTGTTTCGCACACTGTTGAGGAAGATGGCGCACAGTTAGTTTTTTCATTCTTAAAACTTAAGTTATTTTTTTAAAGTGAATTTGTTCTTAGTCGTATTCAACTCGAAATAAAAAATTTGTTGTTGGTATTGGGTTGCTTTTTGGAATTTTTTGGGTAGGGAAAGTAATGATGTTCCTTACAAGATGAAAATTATTTCTACTGATGGGGAAGGACGGCTGTTTGCGGCTTTTTCATAGTTCTGTATCGCAGTAGTGGAGATAGTAATGGGTGTTCTCTACGGTTGTTTCTAATTTAGTGGTTGGTAATTTAACTTTTCATTTATTTCGGACTGTTCACTTTTATGCTTTTGCTTGTTTTTGGTGGTTCTGAGTAGATTTGATGAGGCGGTGGATTTCACTATGCATCCATTGTAGAGGTAGATAACTTTGGACTTTTTTGGTGCCATTATTTGCCTAGTGTCTAGTTGAATTTGTTAAGATGAGTTGTAATTTTTTTGTTTTTTTCCGAGAGATGGTATAAGTTTCAGTGAGTTGGGCTGAGTGGTGGGTAGGTCAACAGCAGAATGAGAGTTTGGCGAATAGACAACGAGTGCATTAACATATATGTATAGATATTGTTGCTGAAACCGGAGTGTGATTAAGTTATGTGACGTGTACAAAATGGGTGTTTTTCTTTTCTTTTTAACGCTTTCTTGAGTAGAGCGGAATCCTTGTTTATTTGACAGGACATAAGTTTTGGCAGTTGTAGTAGTTGTTGTTGTGGGTGGTTTGACGTTGGTGTTGCTGCCGTCATTGTCATGTAATTGGTTGTGTTGTGTGCATTACTGCAACAGCTTAACGCATATGTTCGCGTAGACCGAGTTGTGTCGTTGTGGCTGCTTGCTGCCGGAGGTGGAACGGGTAGATAGATGGATGGATGGGAGGGATGGATAGATGGACGATGGGCGAATACTTGGTTGATTGGTTGGCTGCCTGACTGACTGGCTGACTGGTTGGCTGGTTTGATTGGGGTGCGCGGAAATGTTCGCATTGTTGTTCTCGTGCTAAACGCTTTTCTTCAGGCGGCAGTTTCGCCTGCCTCACCGCGTTGCGTACGTCGAAAATTCATTTAATTTTTGTTTGCATTATTTTGACACTGGACTTTCAAAGCATTGAGCACCTGTGCTTTGGCATTTTTGTTTGTTTTTTTTCGTCATAGTGTTTTTTTTTTT